TACCCTGGAATTGGAGTTACGAACAGTTATTAGCTGTGGGCGGTGCCACCCCTGGGCAGGTTGCTCTGTATTATTCAAATAAGAAAGCAGGGTGAGCAGGGGTCAGGGGAGCAAGCCAGTAAGCAGCATTCTTCCATGGCCTGTGCTTCAGCTCCTGCCTCCATGTCCTGCCCTGAGTTCCTACCTTGGGCTCCCTGATAAACTGTGACCCAGGAGACATAAGCCAAATAAACCCTTTCCTCCCCAAGTTAGTATTAGTCAGAGTATTTTGTCAGTGCAGTGGAGAAACAAACTAGGACAACTATGTACTACTGTGTGTATTAAAGGAAAGAAATCAGAGGATGCACATGTGCCTTATAAATAACAAAGATCTCCTGAAATCCCACTGTGCACATGATAATCACTATTCACCCATGAATCTGGGCCTGTCTAGTTTAAGCTCTGCCAGCTGCAGCAGGATTAGGCCAAGACAGAAAAGCAGGTTACATCTTGCAGAGACACCCATCTAAGGGCGGGTAAGGTTCTCATACCAACTCAGCAAATAATAAGAGTATCATCCTGAACAACTAAAAAGTTGTCACAAAACTTGAGGCTACCATGGACTGGAGAGATGGCTCAGTGGACAAAAGTGCTTGCTGGGCAAACATGTGAGCAAGTTTGGATCCCTAGAACCAAAGTACAAGCCAGGCAGGTGTGGTGGTTGCTTGTGATCCCAGCAGGGAGAGAGGTTCCTCCGGGCAGAATGCTTAGCTAGACTAGCTGGAATTGGCGAGTTCTAGGTTCAGTGAGAGACACTGCCTCAAAAAATAAAGCAGAGAGACCAAGGAAGACACACAACATCAACTTCTCTCCTCCACATGCACATATGTGCACATGCACTCACATGTTTACCAACACACATGTAAGCACATATACACAGGTATGCACGCACACTACATATACATGCAAAAAAATTGGAAACAAAAATCTTCAAAGTCTCCAATCTAGACCTCTTTACCTGACAGTAACATTTCTTTCTGAGGAAGGAGGAGAAGCGGGG